TTGGGGTTTTTTGGGGGGGGCGGAGGGGGATTTTATTTAGCTGCAGCACAGTATTAGATATGCCATGTACTGATCTAACAGAGTCTCAGCTTCAGAGTAGCTTTTAACTGAAATTAGCATACATTCCCATGGTAACACATGAATCCCCCAGAGAACAAAAAAATACAAGGTCTGGAGCTTGCTCCAGTTCTGTCAGTGCCAAGAAAGCACTGCTAGTTTGAGGAACCAGTAAGACTTGAAGTAAACCATCAGGACACGTGTACTCAAACTGCTTCATAAAGTAGCCCTCTTTCTAATACAGAGATTATGTTGTGGTGATCTCCCTCTTCCCATCCTACTTAAGACTGAAAAACTTCTCTAGAGCAACTACAACAATTGCTGACATGGAAAGGTGATATTAGAAAGTTATTTATTACTAATATTAGTTACAGCATGGAAATGCAGAGGTAGCAACATGTGAGCAGGCAGCTCTCTACACACCAGTAGCCCAAAGAGTAAATTTTAAACTCTGCTGTAAAATAATGTGCTTCCAAGGTGTAGGATCTTTTTCACATCTTTCTGATTATCATTTGTGCCAGTCACTATCTCCGGCTGTTAGCACTATGAACCAGTGCTGTAGTTATGTCCTCTCTGAAAGTGTAGAGGCACAGATTTCAAATGACATTAAACATAATCTCTGACTTCAGAAACTAATGGTAATGACTGCTAAAATATGCCTGAAATTAAGGGACAAGACTTGTTCAGTTTCCCATGACCTAGACAATTCCTGGTTCCTTGTCTTTGATGGCCACTCAAGTGGTGGCTTTTGTGTGTGAACTCTGCTTGTCTGGAAGCAGACTGAAGCCACAAGACCTCTTTCAGACACTGAACACGTTTCATAAAGCTCTAGGTGACCACAGACCTGTGCTGGAATTGAGCAACAGGTTCTAACCCAGTATCAGTTGCTCAAACCATCCAATTTCCAGACTATTCTTAATTTCTTGACTGGATTTGAAAAGTAGGATTTCACCCTATGAGTACAAGGTTAATGAGTGGATAAACCTACAGGACTGAATTTGTCTGCTTTCTGCCGTTCTTCCATTGTATGTGTAATTGCCATGATCAAAATGTTTGTAATTCATCTGCTGTGTTGTTTTTAGCACTGTTGTGATGAGCATACCTGTTAGTGCCAGAGAGAGTTGCACTCCATACAAATCAGATGGAAGAAAAGGCAGTTCATCTAGTTCTTAATATTTTGCTGCTTAAATTTTTTTTAAAAGAAAAGGTCTAAATGGTGGTGGCTTCACTCTTACTATTGACAAGCAACATGTGTTGCAGAAACTCCATGTGAAAACAATTCTGCAAAGGAGAGTTCTCTTACAGGAGCCACTGGCATTTCAGTTAGTATTCAAGTAATGCTACAAAATGCTGGATACAGATGTGTTCTCTATAATTCTCTTACAAATGAAGAGTGAAATCCTGGCCCCATGGAAGTTGACGGGGAGTCTTTCTACTGGTTTCCATGTGGACAGGATTTCACCTGTATTTCATCTTCACTGGCTCTGCAGAAGGAGAAAAATGTCACTTGTATTGTTCATCTATTTCTGAGGGTACCTCTGAATTTTTTTGAAGCACCAAATTCTCGTTCACAAACCTGTTTGGATTTCTGCATGCCTTATCTAAATTATTTGCATCCCAGTGATACTAAAGAGCGACATTAACAGCATGTCTGACTGCATGATATCTAGAATTTTTAGAAGTCATTTTTTTTACACCTGTGTCACTATAGATGATTTAGCATGATTAGGAGTTGATTTCTTAACACTAAAATCCATTTTTCTTCACTCTATTAATACTCGAATAGCATCAGGGTTTCTAGAGGTTGGAGTGGTGAAAGAAATTAAGATTCATTAGTAACTTAGTGTCTATGTTGCAACAATCTAGTGTTGTTACAAGGACTAAATTCATCAGGGATATTGATTACATTGTAGGAGCTCTTGAAGAGGAAGATGCCTGAGACAGCTATGGCAGGTTAAGCATACTTAGAAGCTTAAATAAGGGTGCTGAGATCTGTGTGGTGAGTTCGGGCACATGGAACTCATGACTACAAGGTGTCGTGGCCACGAATTTAGCAGGATTAAAAAAATTTGGCATGAAACATCCACGGCTACACTAGATAGGAGTACAAACATTGTAAGAGATGTACACCATCATGGTTCAGGTTACAGCCACTGTGCACCTGGATTTGGGATGTAATGTCCCATGTGAGTCAGTTATTCATAATTCTCATTTATGGTGTTCCTTGAAATTTCTTTTGAAGCAGCTGGGACTGGCCACTCTCAGGATACTCAGCTAGACTATCTATTGTATCTCTAGTCCTCTGGCACATTTGACTTCCTGAATTAGCAAACAATTGGGGAAGTTTTTAGTCCACAGGGGATGTGATGTTGATGGTCAGAGCACAAACAGCCAGTAAACATCAGTTTTGAGAGAGAGGCTATCCTTTTAGAATAAGTAAATTATTCTGTAACTGCTGTGGCCCCTCCTGATTCAATGATTATGGCATTTTCACTCTCTGTTCATGAGAAAATTGAAGTGAAGTAATGGTAAAGATCACTATGTGATTGATCAGTCTGCAAAAATGTGGTCAGTTTTTCCATGTGTGGCAACTGGAACTTATTTGCACTTGTTTTAGCTTGAGTGTAGGAAGTTCTGACAAGCTTGCACGCCAGAAAAATCCATTTGCTTGAGTGCACTTATCAGTCTTTCTGACGTCCCCCACACTTGCTAATATTTCTATATAATGTGATATGTGCTTGTTTTACGGTTAAGTGTTTAGTGACATTGTGTGCACCATGCCCTGCCCTCCCCATTCTCTAGCAGGTACCCATATGATTTAAGGCCAGCTGTTGTCTTTGGATGCAGCAGTCTCAATCATTCAAAAAAAGCTGCATAATTTCAGATAATGCCTTTTTTTGTCTTCAACTAAATTCTGAGTTGAGAGAGAACCAGGTTTTCAAGCAAGTGCATGCATCTCTTACACGCATCTTAGTGTGTCCCATTCACTGTTGAAGCATAAAAATTGTTCCCAGATTCTAGCATAAAATTAAGCACAGAAGTTCTTTCTGGGGAATCCAATAAGGATTTTAAGATCCCATCCGGTGTTTATCCCATCTCTCTTTATTGACGGAAATAAGGTTAGTGACCACGACAACTATCTTCTGTGATGTAGGGAAAAGTTAACAAATGAGTTTTCAGATGTGAGTTCACTCAAACCGGAAAGTTGTTAAAATGCTAAAGGACTGTGAAATCATGGAATTCACTTTAATGGTGAAAATCATTTTACATTCAAATTTGGTATTTTATAAAGAGAATCATCCTTTCTCTTTAAACAAAAACAAAACCCACTCTTAGCTACTAATGTGCAAGCCTAATTTAAGCATGGAATGTGTGATTGCACTTTAAGGTTCTGTTTAGAAATAGCCATTAGACCACCATTTATAAACTAAGCAGTTGCTTGTTCCATAGATCAAATTGCTTATAACCATATGCGCCACCTCTTGCTGATGTGCTTATAACTCATACAGCCTATGTCTGTAATATATCTGTAGCCTCTGTTAATCACTTAAAGTGTGACTGTGTGTGTTATATCAGAGGAGCTCCACAAAAGGAGAGCTGCTATTGCTGATACCACCTTAATTTAACTGTATCATGGTAAAGCTATAATGAAAGTTCAGGGTGAAAGTATCCAATACTTCCCTGATAGGCAGGTGTCACTCAAGCTAAGTGAAACAGAACTTTCTATTTTAGTAAAGACATTGTTGAAACATGTAGGCATATGTCACTGATGTGCTTGCTAGGGTGAGATAAACCGTTACCCATTTCTGTTATCTTTACTGTTTCACAAAATTGCTGCTGTTGCCAGTCCTGTTCTAATATACCGTGTTTGGGCTGTCAGCACAAGCCACCTGGGTTTCATCTTTGCCCTGGATAGAAGCCAAAATGCATTAATGAGATGGATTTTAAAAAAAATATTTTAATACAACCTTATTATGGAGTGACCGTTCTCTCTCTCCATAGTTAAGGCTAGAACCACATTTCTTTTGTCAGCATGATTTTGGTAACCGTTGTAAGTTTCTTCAGCCTCAAAATAGATAGTCCCTGCGAGCTTACAGTCTTACTATATGCTTGTACAATGTCCCGCATGATGAGGCTGCAATGTCAGTTTGGGTTTGTAGGCCCCATTGTATAACAATTGACGTGTTAGGTCTGAGACAAAAGCAGAGCATTTTACAAAATGTGAGGTGAATTGGGATAAGACTTAATTTTTCCTGTCTCTTTATCTACCAAACTCTTACATTCCCTTCCTACTGTTCCATTTGTCCTCCCTTTTCATCATTAGTGTCCTCTGTAAACAAAAACAAACTGGAGCTAAAAAGTGCTTCTGAGTGTGCCCTAGTTCCTTTTTTCCTACCTCTTGTTTGACTCCTGCTTATGTGCTCTTTGTGCAGGGATTGTTCTTTAAAATAACTCCCCTTAACTGCTAAGATATATGTATCTGTCAAGGGTTTTACCCTTGGGGAGGGTGAGAAAACAGGGTCACTACTGCAAAAACCTTCTCAGAGGCATTGCTGGAATTTTAAAAGGGTGTTGTCAATACATCTTTCGAAGGTGTGGGGAGCCTTTCCTAGTGAGCTTTGGAAAACTGCCATTAAACTTCCAAAAAGTGCTCATAGCAAATATTTCATATGATCTCTTCACCTGTCAACCCATTTTTTTTTTTTTTTAAACAGAGGTAGTCCATTAGTGGCATAAAGAGCTAGATTTTCCCAAGTAATTAATATAGTAAGCTTGAGGAAACCTTTTTTATTGTTTGGTGTAATATGACTAATATGTTCCAAAAACTATGAAAATGGATTTGAAATGCTTGTGAATTTTAGATGAAACAACTTGTAATGTAGAGTACACAACTACTTGGGTTCAGACTATAGAATAATCTCTTATTTCTCTTTATTCTCCAGGGATTTAAGTCATAATCACTTACAGTCCTCTAACTGGAGTATTGGTTTGTCTATTCACACACTGCAAGAAGTGTAAGTTAATTTAAGTTATCATTGTTTATTTTAAACATTTTGTTGCAGAGTTCTTACATGTTCATATTTAGGATTTTAACTTGTCAATTTCTAAGCTCTGACTCCTAAGGCACATCAGGATTGTCTGAATTACTAAAAATATCTGAATCAAGGTAGCAGAAATTGACAGTCCTATTTTAGTAGCACAGTACATGTAAGGCAGAGATATATTCAACCCTCAGAACCACATTTCAGCAGGAAGCATAGAAATCTAGTACTCATTCCATTATTTTAAAATAGAAACAGGGCATCACTTTGTTTTGAATGTAGCTAATTTTTAGTTGCCATTACATTAATTTAACTACCTAAAGCAGTTCTGTGTTTTGGATTGCTGAATCTTCCAAACTTTTGTTACTAAACTAGCTTTTAGGGAGTCTACCAGCACTGTCCACTGCAAAATGTCATTAATGTAGATAAAATGTTCACAACGTTATAGTATCAAGAGAAATGTTTAAGTTGTTCAGCTGTTTAGAATGGCTTTTCCCTTTTTGAAGTCTCAGTAAAGAAATCTCTTTTTCAGGAAGATGAATTACAATGAGCTAAGTGAAATTCCCTACTTTGGAGAACCAACTTCTAATATTACTGTTCTCTCATTGTAAGTAAATATTTAAAGACTTGAAAAAATTGCTTTCTCTTATAAGCAAGTGAAAAAGATTGTCTCACAGGAATTGAAAGCAGCTAATTTTTTAAAAGCTAAACTTGTTTAAATATCTTTTTGTTTAAAATGCTTCAAGGCAGATGTACAGCACTTTTTTTTATTTTTTTTTAAAGCACACATCCCCACAAAAGACATTAGTAACACAGTTGACCAAAAGGTAACTGTAACTCACCAGTGAATGCAAGCTACTGGGAGTGCGGGGTGGGGGTGGGGAGAGCAGAAAGTGGGGGATTTCTGCCATGCACTCTTATAAACAGCCCTGAGGCGCTTTGAAGAGGGAGGGGTGAAGGGGGAGGGTGTCTGTTCCAGACTCAAGGACTCACACAGGAAACCGCTTACTTCCAGCCCCCCAGGGGCTAAAATCTGACTGTTGGAAAAACCACCTTTACTGTCAAGATGGTTGTGGGAAGGGGACTTCCAACATTGCCAGGACCTGAAATAAGGTTTTATCGATCTTAACACCCAGAACAGTACGTTAATTTCTTTTTAACTCGGACGTGGGTTATTAACCCTAACCCTTGGACCCCCAGTATAGCTAGCTGTGGTGCTCACCCCTAGTGATGGCCTGGTGATCGTCCTCATGTTGCTGTTTCTTTTGTTTGCAGAGTTCACAATACAATTCCAGAGATAAATGCTGAGCAGCTCCAACTCTACCTTTCGTTGGAGAACCTAGACCTTAGCTCTAACCTCATATCAGAAATTAAAGCTTCTTCGTTCCCACGAATGCAGTTGAAGTACCTGTAAGTATAATGAGGTAACTGATCTGTAGTGTGCTAAAAGTGCATAGTTTTAGTACAACCTAACATCACCTTTTTCCCCCGCTGTAAAAAAAGATGAGAACCAGTGGCAGGGGTTGAGAGTAGAAGGATTCTTTTTCCCCACCCAGGCTGAATTGTTGACTAGCCATGTGCTGCTTATGTAGGCAATGTTATAAACGTGTTTGTACTTTACATACTGATAGGAATCACGATCCCTTGCCTCAAAGAGCCTTACACTGAAAGGTCCCATCTATAGTAGGGTACTGACCTATTACATACAGCAATGTGTCCCTCTGAATAGTACAACTGATAATGTAGATGGGACAAAATGACTTAACACACAATGGTACCTAGTCATAATCATGCTTTCTCAGGTTGTGTTGAAAAGGGTTTTGTCCCATCTACACTAGCAGTGACTGTTTCCTACACTAACATGCCTGTGTCTGACAGCCAGCGTTGGGTTACTTCCTAGTGTACCCTAGTTTTTGCTGATCTTGGCCAGGTCATTTGATTGTCTTTGTCATGCCTGCTCTTGCCTGTTGTCCTTTTGGGATTAAATAGGTTCACCTATGAAACCAGAACTTGAATTCCTGAAACTGGAGACTTGATGAGACCAAATAACTTTATAAGAAATTAATTCTAATACAAATATTAGTTTGACATTCTTATGCAATTTTAAAGTAGAATGTTCCATGTTGAGAAAATCTTTTCTCCTCCTTTCTTAGGAATCTGAGTAACAACAGAATAACTACCCTAGAAGCAGGCTGCTTTGATAATTTGTCCAGTTCTCTAGTGGTGGTGAAACTAAACAGAAACAGAATTAGTATGATTCCACCAAAGATCTTCAAATTGCCTCATGTGCAATTCCTGTAAGTGATGTCCCTTAAACTCCATGAACCATGTTTAAAATTGTATCATTTGCTTGAGAATGTGTTCTTAGTGAAAGATATCTAAACACTTATGGCTAACTTATTTTATTTAAGGGAACTTAAAAGGAACCGGATTAAAATAGTGGAAAGTCTTACATTCCAGGGTCTGGAATCCTTAAAATCATTAAAAATGCAGCGCAATGGGATTAGCAAACTAATGGATGGAGCATTCTTTGGATTGGATAATATGGAAGAACTGTAAGTATGGCTGCTCATGGCATTTTGTTAGATATCCTCTTCAGGCACCAACGGGGAAAGTGGGTCCTCACTGTGCCTCTCATGATGCCAGGCTTCACTGGAATAGTTGATGAGAAGTACAGAAAATGTTTGCATTTCTGTTCTTCCTTGGGGAAGCTTACGGCTTCACGTCTTTCATGGTAACTCCAAAGAGGAATAAAGATATTACTGTCTCTCTCCTTTCTACCAGCTTAGCTCCATCCACCAAGGTGATTCAGAAAGTGTCACGCTCTCGCTACTCCATTGATGGAATCTGTTTCCATATTAAGATTTCTCCAGTCTTTTCACTGTAATGCACAGCTATTGAGTAAACTGTATCCTTATGGCAGTTACATATCAAACCTGACAGCCTCAGCCTGTTACTGTGGCCCCAGCTATTGGTGCTGTGTCAAAGCTATGATTAGGTATGCATGTTGCCTTCCCAACCTATCCCTGAACCATTGTTCTCCAAAGAATATAGAAATGAAACCATCATTTCTGATTGGGTATCTGATGGCATTACAGACAGGACTGCCTTCCAACTAAGGTATGATTGATATTAAAGCTTGGTGTCCCCGTAAGTTCAGTGTCCATTGGGAAGTCTCCCAGAAACTTTCCAAGGGAATCTCAAGTTCAGACTCACTCAGTTTTACTACTCTTGCCATCATATGCAGAACTAAGAAATGAAATTGTGCAAACTACTTCATTAAAAATGTGTTCCCATAGCATGTTACGGGAGTGAGGACGGGGGAGGGCCAGGGGAGCGACCTGGAGTCTCTTACAATACCTAGGTACAAGTGAGAGTGCTAATAATCCTGGACTTGCTTTGTGTTAGTGGCTTAACTATAAGGTCTTGACTTTTAAGTGTCTGAGTGTTTGGATGACACAGAAGGTATATGAGTGTTTGGATGACCTAAGCAGTGCTACCAAGAGATTTTAATAGAGTTGATTTAAAACAAGAGGCCGTATGTTCTAGTGGATAGAACAGAGAATTTTGAGTTAAGGATAGAAGCCAGGATTCTGACTCCACCACTGGTTCACTGTGACGGTGGGCAGTCATTTACCCTTTTTGTGGGCATCCATTTACTCCTCTGGCCTCTATAACAAGGGTATAATCTTGTCTATCGCACATGCATTCTACAAGGCTTAATGTTAGCAAATCACGAAGATCAACTGATGGGAAGTGCTGTAAAAATGTGTTCCTCATTGAATGTCTACTTAGAAAACATTTTCTTCTCTAAATCTTTAGAGAACTGGAACATAATAACCTGACAGAAATAAACAAGGGCTGGTTGTATGGCTTGCGAACGTTGCAACAACTCTACGTTAGCCAAAATGCCATTAACAGGATCAGTCCAGATGCATGGGAATTCTGCCAAAGACTTTCTGAACTGTAAGTGCTGGGCTGCATTTCAGTGGGGATTTCATGATGTTACCAAGAACAGATTGGCTAGAACATCCATACAAAATGCTGCATCTCTTTTTGCTCGGCCTTTGTCAAAACATTCTAATAGAATGTTTAAGTGAAAATAAATCTGAACAGGGAGTCTTGATTTCTGGTGACCTCATCGTCTGATATTCTTGCCTTCAGTAAGTCTCTCTTGTGTCTTCCCTTACTGTGTACACTTAATGTTTCCAGAGACTTGTCATACAACCAGTTGACCCGCCTGGATGAGTCTGCCTTCGTGGGACTTGGCTTATTGGAGAAATTAAATCTGGGTGACAACAGAATCATTCACATTGCCGATGGTGTCTTTAAATGGCTGTCAAATCTTCAAACTCTGTAAGTGCAGAAAGGTTCCAATTTAAAAACTCCTGTTTACTTCTGCTAGCTTCCTTAGTTGTAAAGCAAGGGCTATGATTGCTACTGACCGTGTGAGCCTGTAAAGCCTTCAATAGGAGCCTTAGTCCCTGCTGTGCTGCCATCTTGCCTTTGAAGGGATGGGAGGATTGAGGGAGCTGTTTGTCTGTACGAGTAATTGCTGCCCAGAGACTTAAGCTTTTAAAAAAACAAAACAAAAAAAAAACACTGACTTTTTAGTGCTGGTGGCAGGCAGCAGCTTGTTAGCCCTGGAGAATATCCTGTTAACCAACAGCAAGAGTCAGTGCACACCATCTGACCAGAGTGCTCGAAAACCTGCTCTGGAAACGCTACCTCCCGGCCGGGGCCACTGGAGGTGGTCTAATCACCCTTTTCATTCAGGTCTCAGAGTAGCAGCCGTGTTGGTCTGTATCCGCAGAAAGAACAGGAGGACTTGTGGCACCTTAGAGACTAACCAATTTATTAGAGCATAAGCTTTCGTGAGCTACAGCTCACTTCATCGGATGTAACCGATGCAGTGAGCTGTAGTGCACAAAAGCTAATGCTGTAGTAAATTTGTAGCCTCTAAGGTGCCACAAGTCCTCCTTTTCCTTTTCATTCAGTAAGTCAACACAAGTATCAGATGTGAGGATGCCTTGTCAACTTGGGCCCAAATGTTGCCTGTAACTTACTCAGTTCACAGTGACTGGGTACCATGGGAGTAAACATGTAAGCCATAAAAATTACTGTTTAAGCCTTCCCCCTTTTCTGCCCTCCACATATGCTCACTTCACAATGCATATATAACATAACAGTGCAGAAAGATTTGCCACCTCTGTTCTAAGGTATAACTGCACGTATTTTAAGAGCTTCATTAATACATGTAACTATGGCTGGATTTATCCAGCAAAAAGGATTCAATCCTGGTTCTTGCTAAAAACATCCTCAAAGCTGAACACTTCTAATGGTTCCACACAAAATTAGTTGGAAAAGTGTGCAAGTTTATAACTCTTCTGTCAGTTCATTAAGAAAGCGCCTATTTAGGTGAAATCACTGGACACTTATGTAAGCAGTCATATTCTGTTAACCTTAATGCAACCTTTTAATGAAACAATTAAAACTAATCTCTTAAATTTAGAGTAGCATGAAAAAGAACAAGAGCAGATTAATTAGTAGGTTTTGTTGGGTTTTTAAGGGGCGTCAAACAGTTAACAGGCAGGCCATTTGGTTCAGGGTCAGGAATGTCGCGGACAAGGGAGCAATGGTGATTAACAAGGCTCTGAACATTCATGCCTCACCGAGCATGAGGAGCAAATTCTATCAGCTCATACAATGAAGTTCTATTTCCCCTCTCCCTTCCCTCTTGATGCTTTACCAACAAAAACAAAACACCAAATTGGTCCAAATAGCACAGGTATATGGTCACCAAGACACAATTTAATAGTTAAAATAATTTCCATTGTTAGTCCTCCATCTATCCAGTGTGTTAGTGTTAAGATTGACTTAAGTATTATTCTTTGTACCCTAATCTCTTAAATGCTTCTTCTAAAAATAGTAAACTTGTAAGGTAACCACACACAAACTGCAGATGATATATGGGTTATAAATTCAATGGATTAAGAATATGTGCAAAATAGAAATCAGATTATATCTAAAAACAGAACAAAAGTTCCAAAGTCTTAAATCTTATCACCTTGTTTACTTTATAATATTATGTCTGACTGGGCATTAACCATCCAAAGCTGTAAACTCAGCTAACCTAGAGAGTATTCCAGAAGTAAGTATTTCTACTACTGTGTTGTGCTACATTTATTCCCATGTAACCACAGTGTCACTTACTTGGTACAACTTTCTGATTAGAACCTCACTTTAGGGATGTATATGTTGCCTACCCCTAAACAAGTCTTCAAAGGGAAATTCTCTAATTTAGCATCAAAATTATTTTGGGTCTAGATTATGCAGTCTTTGTTCCTAGTGGTGAGCCCTGCTACCCATTGCAGTTGGTGGGTCTGTTGTGTGCAGCAGCACTCGTCAGCGTAAGTAAAGTTGCACAGTCTAGCTCTTCGTTAGTAATGGTGGAATTCTGGGCATCCTGAATTAAAGTTAAGTTTAAAGTGGATTAAAAGGGAAAGTTAATAGATGGTTCATACTTGTGGAACGTGTTTCTGCAGGTGCTGAACCAATTACTTCAGTATTACAAAATGAATAAGAATGGCTACTGCCACGGGCAAAATACTGGACTAGGTAGACTTTTGGTCTGTTTCAGTATATTAACGTCTATAAAGTAAAACTTCCATTCTAAGCAATGCTAAAAATGGTTCTGTTTCACCATAAATACAGCAAAAGAAATATTTTTTTTATATTAAATGAGGCCTATTCACTATTGTTCTTAATTTTATTTAGTGTTCTTATGGCAGTTGATCTATTGCACATGAGCGCTGTCGGACTGATAAATGTTTATATTTTAATGAAACATCAATTGTTTTGCATTAATATTTCTCCCTCACAACTCAGTGGTATATCTGCAAATACCTTTATATGCTGCCATATTAAAAGGCAGATGAGAAGTCTCTCTCTAAAGGAAAAATTCTAGGTAAATCTATGACTTTTAGTTTAAAAGGAACTTTACTGAATCTATTATCCTCCCCCCACCCCTCAGTGAATCATTTAATAATCCCTCCTGAACCAGGGAGTGCTGTATTGGCTTTAGTATAGAACAGCAGACTAAGTTGTAAGGGCAGAAGTGCTGTGCCAGGGTCAAGCAAAAATCCCATTAGCTGGTAACAAGATTTGTGAGCAGAACACGGCACTGTATTGCAAATCTACTACTTCATGCTTGGCAGCCCTACGCTTACAACCTGTATGTAATCTTTTAATATGCTAATGTTATCACAAGCCTGTCACTTGGAAGATTAACACTATGAACATATTGCTTAATTCACTTACACAAACCAACTCACTTCAGGAGCCCCTTCCAGTTTCTAGTAAATAGTCAATGTCACATGGTGATCACTAGCCAGACTATTGGTCTTTACCTAATAGCCAGTTGAGAGACTGTACCTCAGAGCTTCTTGGTTTTCTTTTAAAAAAAAAGAAAAAAGGAGGAGGGATAGCTCAGTGGTTTGAGCATTGGCCTGCTAAACCCAGGGTTGTGAGTTCAATCCTTGAGGGGGCCATTTAGGGATCTGGGGCAAAAATTGGGGATTGGTCCTGCTTTGAGCAGGGGGTTGGACTAGATGACCTCCTGAGGTCCCTTCCAACCCTGATATTCTATGATTCTATGAGTACTTGTGGCATCTTAGAGACTAACAAATTAAGTACTCCTTTTCTTTTTGCAAATACAGACTAACACGGCTGCTACTCTGAAACCTTGGTTTTCTTTGTGATTCAGCCAGTGATGCTGTGACTTCAGGCAATTCACTTACCCACCTTGAACCTTTTGAGTTTCCCCATCTGTATAATGGGGTGTTTAGCTTTCTACAGGGATGTTGAGGCTCAGTGTTTGTAAAGCACTTTAAGAATCTTTTGGAAGGTACTATGCAGTAGCACAGTACTACTTAAACGCACAGAAATTCTGTATCCCCAGTCATTAGTAACTAGCAATGATGAATATAATTTTTCCCAGGCATGTAAATGAGGCCTTTCTACTCTTGCAGAGATTTGCGGAACAACGAGATCTCTTGGGCCATAGAAGATTCGAATGAAGCCTTTGCAGGTCTCAGCAGACTCAACAAATTGTATGTATTACAAGCCTTGGAAGTGACCTCTTTCCAAGGCATTAGAATAGAAGTGAAGCCAGAAATATTTTTAATGGTGCATAGTATGAACACAAATATAATTAAGTCTGAGAAAAGCCTTTTCTGTTAAGAGCATTTGTATTCAGTATAGTCCCTGTACTAAGTAACTTAGACTAAGGCTAGGAAATTGAACTCTTGCTTGGCAATAGTGTTCAGGAGTGGATGTCTCTGATCTAGTATTGAGAATGATGGAAGTACTTGTAGGATAAAATCACTTCCAGTATCATTTCAGAAAACATGATTTGAGACCTGAAGTCTGTTATGCTTTCTAAAATTACTGTCTGGGCTATACCTAAGGAAAGTTTTAAGTGCCAGTAGATTTTCAGGTAAAAGCTTTCATCCTTTGAAAGGGCTACTAGTTAGTGCCCTTTGGTTCACTTCAGCAGGTTCTTGTCAGAATATTTGACTTTATTTTAAAATCTTTTTGGAAAAGCAGTTACCATGTTCTTGGGAGGGGGTGTCACTGGTATGCATGCAGAACTCCTTCATACTAATGGGAAACTTGCATCCAGATAAGGAGAGACCTAGCAGCCCTTGTTCACATTGGCCGACGCTACACTACATTATATTGTATTAAAATATTTTGTCTGTTAAAGTCTTCTGTGTTGTGGGGTGGGGGGTTGTCTTTCAGAATCTTGCAAGGAAACCAGATCAAATCAATTACAAAGAAAGCATTCTCTGGCCTTGAAGCACTGGAACATCTGTAAGTACTTTGTCTTGTAGTTCTTGTAGCTTTTTCTGTTGAGCAATCTCAGACAAGTCTCTTCTTCAAACATGCAAATGTCACAACTGTTCAGAGTTAGAATATGAAATGAAGTTTTCCCACTGTGACTCTTCTTGCTTAATTTACAGAGATTTGAACAACAATGCAATAATGTCTATCCAAGAAAATGCTTTTGCTCAGACTCACTTTACTGAGCTGTAAGTATATTTCGTTATTACAAGTTAGACTATATTGTGTCCCTTATAGACTTCCCTACAGTTTTGCTTAAATATGTTCCACCTCTGTTACAAAATATCAATACAACAAAGTAGGCATTAGTGGTGGTAATTTCTATGTAAAAATTAAATTTTTATCCATGGCTATAGGGTTTATCTAATGCCTGCTAAAATTTATATCTTCTCTTCCTGAACATAATTACTATAAACTACAATACTTCCTTGCAGTGATTTTCCAACTCCTTTGCTCTTTCATCTTGAGAGCAGTTCATGAGAACTCTTGCTTCGGGGTCTGGGTGTTTAAAGCAGTGCTCTGATGAATAAAAAGCTGGGGTTAGCTTTTGTTATCCCCACAATGTCAGGAGCCAAGACTTCCTGGGCGTCTATAATTGGCTTTGTCACTTAGTGTTGGAAAATTTTTATCTGCATTTCTCTGTTTGACAATCCCTTGTGATGCATGGAACCAGGTTGCAAATCAGGACTGTATTCTACCAGGGTTGGTGGTATCAAATTTCTCTGCTGTAAAATATATACTAAAAATGTAAAGGGAGGAATGTTCTGAAAACATTTTAGAATGGGGGAATTTTTTTAAAAAAAAAGGTTTTAATATTTGCATGTCTGCTTTGAAATAGAACACAGAGGAAGTCTTTATATTCCTTAATGGTCCAACATGCAGACTGATGCTGTTATGGTCATTAATGTGGCTCTTAGCAGTACCCCACTCCTTTATTACAAAATTAAACGCTTCTTGTGGCCCCTCTGAGACTAAATTAAAGCTGTTGACTTGTCTGCTCAAAAATCTAGCCTGGTTTTCAGACAATTAAGAGACGAAATGCCTCAGATGATATTCCCCATATAAAAAATTCAAAACATCTTGGAACTTGGCCAGTGAACAGGAGAAATGGCCAAACAAATCTTTCCAGGGGGCTTGACTAGCATCATGTTTTGACCCCCCCGGCCTTGTATAAACTTCAGCAAACATGTAGAACGTTATATAATGTTGAGACCCACACACCTAGTGATATTCGATGGGAGTATATAATTCATAGCTCTATAGAAGATGAGGTCTGAATATCATGTAATCTGTTTTAAAAAAAATTATCAATTTAGTTAATCCTGGCCAGATGGGCCATTATTGAGTTTCACATAAGCTTCGCTGAGAGAAGGAAGGTAGTGAGACATGCTTTCTATATTAGGCACCCATGTGAGACTTTATTCACTATCTTGTATGTTTTTAAAATGGGGGTGGTTGTTCATGGACAAGAGTGGATATTGCTGAAAGGAATCCCTTTATTCTTTGGTACATGCCCTTCCTGGTTCTAACTCACTAATCCCCAGATTCACTCTCCGGAAGGGGTGAATAATTTTTTTCAGTCCAGTAAAGACTTCCTGATATGGCATTTACTGACAGCAGCCGATAGATCTCCTAAGATCCAGATACAATGGTGGTGGGTGCTTTGTATGTATGTGCCAGTGGTGTTCGGCTACTTTGTCACCACAATATCAGAGATGTGAAATAAGTAAATAAAATGAATGACTCTTCCTTTTTAACCTTGTTTCTGCAGGATGTTGAACACCAGCAGCCTACTCTGTGACTGCCAGTTGAAATGGCTGCTTCAGTGGCTCATTGACAGCCATTTACAACAGGCTGTAAATGTTAGCTGTGCTTACCCTGAATGGTTAGCTGGACAAAGCATTCTCAATGTGAATCCTGAAGACTTTGTCTGTGGTTTGTATTCTTAATGACTTTGACTTAGGGGTATGGCAGTACCTAAGTAGAAATGCACCCTTCTTGGAAACCAGACATTCATGTTGAATTGAAGGAGATTATTGGGCTAAGTAATGGAGACAAAGAATTAATTTGTGTGTACATGCATCACTTGGCCTACCATTGCTTTTTGGTTTGGCTCTTTCTATGGCTATATATTTTTCCCAAGTTCCCTGGTTTCTGTTGCACTGAGGCACTGTATAGTCTACTGTAAGAGATGCTTCATCAGTGATTTAGGTAATGGCATAGAGAGTACACTTATAAAGTTTGTGGAGGATACCAACCTGGGAGGGGTTGCAAGTGCTTTGGAGGATAGGATTGTAATTCAAAATGATCTGGACAAACGGGAGAAATGGTCTGAAGTAAATAGGATGAAATTCAAGAAAGACAAAAATGCAAAGTACTTCACTTAGGAAGGAACAATCAGTTGCACACATACAAAATGGGCAATGACTGCCTAGGAAGAAGTACTGCAGAAAGGGATATGGGGGTCATAATGGATCACAAGCTAAATGAGTCAACAGTGTAAGACGGTTGCAAAAAAAGTGAACACCTTTCTGGGATGTATTAGCAGGATTGTTATAAGCAAGACACAAGAAGTAATTCTTCCACTGTACTCCATGCTGATTCTGCTTCAACTGGAGTATTGTGTCCAGTTCTGGGTGCCATATTTCAGGAAAGATGCGGACAGATTAGAGAAAGTCTAGGGAAGAGCAACAAAAACGATTAAAGGTTTAGAAAACATGACCTAAGAGAGAAGATTGAAAAAATGGGGTATGCTTATCTGGAGAAGAGATGACTGAGGGGGATATAACAGTTTTCAAGTATATAAAAGGTGGTTATAAGGAGGAGGAAGAAAAATTGTTCTTAACCTCTGAGGATAGGGCAAGAAGCAATGGGCTTAAATTGCAGCAAGGGCAGTTTAGGTCGGATATTAGGAAAAACTTCCGAACTGTCAGGATGGTTAAGCACTGGAATAAATTGCCTAGGGAGGTTGTGGGATCTCCATCACTGGAGATTTTTAAGAGTAGGTTAGACAAACACTGTCGGGCATGGTCTAGATAATACCTGGTCCTGCCATGAGTGCAGGGGACTGGACTAGATGACCTCTCACAGTCCCTTCCAGTCCTATGATTATATAAGAGGGGAAGTCCTGTGACAAGATCCTTTAATTTACTATAAAAATTTGATGTGGCTCAAATTCTTGATTGTCTGCTTTGTAGAAGGGGTTGAACCCTGTAATAGTGGTTCTCTTAGTACCTAGGAGGGCATGGGTAGCTTAAATTTTTTGTATGCACAGGATAGTCTGGGCATCCTGGAGAGTGATATTATGACAAAGGAACCCAAATAAGTGTTACAGAGTGCCTCACAAACTTGAACGCGTTAATCCTTGCAAAAGAATTGTGAGATAAGAAAGTGCTATTATCTGCATTTTATAGATGGGGAAACTGAGGTGGAAACTGTGACTTGTCTATGGCCACACAGGGACTCTGTCGAAGATCTGAGAATTTAATCCATGTGTCCTGGGTTCCAGGCTAGCACCTTAACCACCTGGTCATCCTTATCCATCCACATGTCTGTTTTCCCCAACACCATACCTCCTTTTTTGGTCGGTAGCAATCTTTGGTGGGTCTTAAGCTCCTCATTCCTACCTCAGTGCTCCCAACCTAACATCTGCCAATGGATTAGCACAACTGAAGCTTTTTGCTTAAAAACAATAAGCATTGAAATAGGTATGTTGACATATAAATTGTCATCAGTCAGCACTCTTCAGGGAGGAATGGGACAGTTCATGTTTCTCAGAGATTTCTTTAGGTTGTTTGCATGTAGACATATTGCAGCAAGCCATCAGTTTACATCGTGTGATGCCTGTAAAGATGTCTTTGCTGCCATGAGAATTTCTATCCCTTACAAAATAAAATTAGATTATGCAGCACAATTATGCATCTGTGTATAAAATCTGCAACAAATCCAGGTAACTATGGAAAATAGAGGTTCCTGGTGAAGACCTTGAGGTGTCTTTCACCTCATCTGTTCTTGTTGCTTATTCTCTGTGGCCCCCATCTGTTGTCATAATCCTGTTTCACAGCTTCGTTTCTCCATCAGCTGACTGATGTCAAACTCAAGATAATTTAATGCGGGGAATAAGCAGTGGAAGCAGATGTTACCTACGATACAAACAGCACTGTTTGTTTCCACATAAAATACTTTTCAATATTTTTCTTGCAACATCAGCTGCATGCTGAAGGGAAAACCTGATTAATCTTGCTATCCCTTTTCAGATGACTTTCCTAAACCACAGATAAGAGTACATCCTGAGAGCACAATTGCTCTAAGAGGCATGAATGTGACTTTGACTTGCACTGCAGTAAGCACCAGTGATTCACCAATATCCACTGCATGGCGTAAAGACAGTGAAGTATTGTATGATGCAGACATTGAGAATTTTGCCAGGTATCAGCAGCAAGATGGGGAGGTCCTTGAATACACCACAGTCCTGCATCTTTTCAATGTGAATTTCACCGATGAAGGGAAATACCAGTGCATTGTCACCAATCACTTTGGTTCCAATTATTCCAACAAAGCCAAACTGACTGTCAATGGTAAGCAGCTATGCTAACAAAAGAGAAGCTTTATTTTTTTTCATCTGAGGTTATAATTAAACTTTTATCTAGAAAAATGCTTTTGAAGCTAGTTGAGATTTACAAAAGCTTGATTTCCTCCTCACTGAAGTTGTTCCAATGTTTGTTCAGACTCCATAAAGAGGCTCAGAAAAGCAGGAACAAAACTCCTATAATGGGTCTGTGGAGAGGAGTCATGTCCAGAGCTGGCTGAAAAATTTGCATGATATTTTCAGCATTTATCATAGTTATCAAACCTATCCGTTCCATAAGTGGTAAAAATTGGCAACACTTTTTGGCAAAAATAAATAAAATTTTGAAAACATAAAACATTTCACCAAGCTCTAGTCACAATATGTGTAATTCTCTCTCTAGTCCAGCAAAATGGGTACAGTGTTACTGTTTCTAAACTGAAAGCTCCCCCTGTTGGCTGAGTGAGCCACCCACCCTTCCCCTATAAACACTTGCAAAGCTGAGGGACAGAGACACAAGTAGATCTACCACATAAAACTGAGGAAACAACCATTGTATTGAGGTATTTCAGCCCCATTTAAGCCTTCTGTTGTCATGATCTGAAAGAAGGTGGCCAAGAAACCCCGTGTTAAACCAAGCCTTTAGAGAACACTAGGTAAGTGGAGGGGACTGTCCGTCCAGAGCAGAAATCCATTCTAGGAGACACGAGTTTGTCTGGCTTGCTCCAGAGGCACTGGCTGACTCCTCATAAGTAGAGAGCTTGTGAGCACTTAGCAGAGCCATGTATGATACTGCTGTTGGCTATTAAGCTATAATTCACCTCTTCTTTTACAGGGGACAGAAAAGTATGAGCAAATAAAGACTTGAGAATTAAGCTAAGCCGTCCTGCTTTCACCTGTTACTGAGAGGTAGTGGTTGGGACATTTGTCCCCCACTAAGATGATCTTAATGGAGTATTGCAGATTTAGTATTCCATTACAGGTTTCAGAGTAGCAGCCGTGTTAGTCTGTATTCGCAAAAAGAAAAGGAGTACTTGTGGCACCTTAGAGACTAACCAATTTATTTGAGCATAAGCTTTCGTAAGCTACAGCTCACAATGCATCCAATGAAGTGAGCTGTAGCTCACGAAAGCTTATGCTCAAATAAATTGGTTAGTCTCTAAGGTGCCACAAGTACTCCTTTTCTTTATTTCATTACAGAATTTTAAATAAAAGAATATACTGCATTTGTATAATTCCTACAATCCTTTAAAAGGATTGCAGCAGTCTGTAAGATCTGCTGCAGTTCAGAGACTCCTCTAGTATAGAGAAGAACTTCATTATATGCCCTGAACTGAAAATTTTTTCACATTCAGTCCATAATGTCTCCTCCACTGCAGAGCTGCCTTCCTTTCTGAAAACCCCCATGGATCTAACTATCCGTACTGGGGCCATGGCCCGACTTGAGTGTGCCGCCGAGGGCCACCCCCCTCCACAGATCTCATGGCAGAAAGACGGTGGCACAGACTTCCCTGCAGCACGAGAGAGGCGAATGCATGTTATGCCTGAAGACGATGTGTTCTTCATCGCAAATGTAAAAATAGAAGATATGGGAATCTATAGCTGTATGGCACAAAACATCGCAGGAGGTCTATCAGCAAATGCCACATTGACTGTATTAGGTAAGCAAAGCACAATTCTGGGACTGTACAGATCCTTTCACTTATCTCTCTTTGTGATGATGGTAGCTGACTTACATGAGAGGTTGCTAGGGAATCTAAATGAATTGGATGTGAGTTAATGTGCTACCAGAGTGGCATGTTTCTCTGATTGTAGGTAGCAGTTAATCACATTTTTCAAGATGGGTCAAAGCTATAAAAGGACCAGTGTTCGACTTACCTGGTTGTAGGTGGCGTTTTGCGGTAAAGAACAATGGAAGAAATGTATTTTGTTAATGTGTGTGGCTACAGCAGAGTTCCCTATTGTTGGCTCGCATTATCTTGGGGAAGTTGAATGCCAAACTTGGAAACAGTTTCTAATGCTGCGCCCTTCTTCTGTTGTCCATATCAGTCTGCATCATGAAATAACCTCTGATCAGTCACTCGCTGCGCAGCTAGTCTGCAGCTTCATTTACTGTACATTTTGGTATGGGTTTGGGAAGAGAGAATTATGGGAACGCTTCTTGGTTAGGTTGATTTTATAGATTTGATAATTCCAGCTTTAACTCAGGGAGCTGAACTTAATCACAGGTGACCTGGACTATGCTGAGCTGGTATAGGAAGGAAATACCACCAGAAGGGCTGTTTTTGGTGTGGTGTTTTTGTTTTTGTTTTTTTTGAAGATCCTCTACCCTTTTTTTTTTTTTTTACATTAAGGTCATATATAAACTATAGAAATGGAAAAGACTTCATATCACCCCATACAGTCTTACCTTCGGTGTATTCAGCAAGGCTCTGTCCAGATCAGTTCCAGTGAGTCCACCATTCACGGAAGTGTCTTCCATCACATCAGATCTGTCACAGTATTTCCTGGCCACTGTTCTCCTTTGCCCATCTCTATTTTCAAACTGTGGGATTGGATTCTAAATATCATTTGATACACATAGGAAGGCTGCAATTGAGATTCTGTGCAATTATCTTTTTAATTATATTTGACTTTACAATATTAAAATAACTTTTCTTCCTTTCCACCATATCCAGAAACTCCTTCATTTGTTAGGCCTCTAGAAGACAGGACAGTAACCCGAGGAGAAACGGCCGTGTTGCAATGTATAGCTGGTGGCAGTCCAGCCCCTCGCCTGAACTGGACTAAAGATGATGGGCCTCTGACAGTAACAGAACGACACTTCTTTGCTGCTGCCAATCAACTCCTTATCATTGTGGATGCTGGGTTAGAGGATGCTGGGAAATATACATGCATTATGTCCAACACACTTGGCACAGAGCGTGGCCATATTTACCTAAATGTTCTATCTTCCCCAAATTGTGATTCCTCCCAGAGTGGTATCTTACATGAGGAAGATGGCTGGACGACAGTCGGCATTGTGATTATTGTTGTAGTCTGCTGCGTTGTGGGCACCTCTCTAGTGTGGGTTATAGTTATATATCACATGCGAAGGAAAAGTGAAGACTACAGCATCACGAACACAGGTAGGTAAAATACAGGGCCAGCTTTCTTAAAAAGGGAAGGAGGAGGATCCTGGGAACTACAGGCCAGTCAGCCTCACCTCAGTCCCCGGAAAAATCATGGAGCAGGTCCTCAAGGAATCAATCCTGAAGCACTTACATGAGAGGAAAGGGATCAGGAACAGCCAGCATGGATTCACCAAGGGAAGGTCATGCCTGACTAATCTAATCGCCTTCGATGATGAGATTACTGCTTCTGTGGATGAAGGGAAAGCAGTGGATATATTGTTCCTTGACTTTAGCAAAGCTTTTGACACTGTCTCCCACAGTATTCTTGTCAGCAAGTTAAAGAGGTATGGGCTGGATGAATGCACTATAAGGTGTTTAGAAAGTTGGCTGGATTGTCGGGCTCAACGGGTAGTGATCAATGGCTCCATGTCTAGTTGGCAGCCGGTATCAAGTGGAGTGCCCCAAGGGTTGGTCCTGGGGCCAGTTTTGTTCAATATCTTCATAAATGATCTGGAGGATGGTGTGGATTGCACTCTCAGCAAGTTTGCGGATGATACTAAACTAGGAGGAGTGGTAGATACGCTGGAGGGCAGGGATAGGATACAGAGGGACCTAGACAAATTGGAGGATTGGGCCAAAAGAAATTTGATGAGGTTCAACAAGGATAAGTGCAGGGTGCTGCACTTAGGACGGAAGAACCCAATGCACCGCTACAGACTAGGGACCGAATGGCTAGGCAGCAGTTCTGCGGAAAAGGACCTAGGGGTGACAGTGGACGAGAAGCTGGATATGAGTCAACAGTGCGCCCTTGTTGCCAAGAAGGCCAGTGGCATTTTTGGGATGTATAAGTAGGGGCATAGCCAGCAGATCGAGGGACGTGATCGTTCCCCTCTATTTGACATTGGTGAGGCCTCATCTGGAGTACTGTGTCCAGTTTTGGGCCCCGCGCTACAAGAAGGATGTGGATAAATTGGAGAGAGTCCAGCAAAGGGCAACAAAAATGATTAGGGGTCTGGAACACATGACTTATGAGGAGAGGCTGAGGGAACTGGGATTGTTTAGTTTGCAGAAGAAAAGAATGAGGGGGGATTTGATAGCTGCTTTCAACTACCTGAGAGGTGGTTCCAAAGAGGATGGTTCTAGGCTATTCTCAGTGGTAGAAGAGGACAGGACAAGGAGTAATGGTCTCAAGTTGCATTGGGGGAGGTTTAGGTTGGATATTAGGAAAAACTTTTTCACTAGGAGGGTGGTGAAACACTGGAATGCGTTACCTAGGGAAGTGGTAGAATCTCCTTCCTTAGAAGTTTTTAAGGTCAGGCTTGACAAAGCCCTGGCTGGGATGATTTAATTGGGGATTGGCCCTGCTTTGAGCAGGGGGTTGGACTAGATGACCTCCTGAGGTCCCTTCCAACCCTGATATTCTATGATTCTACTTCTGTTGTGTTTTAACCTATGACTAACTGAAATAATTTCTTAAAGTAAGAGACCTAATGGAGGGGAAAGCCTTTGTTTGTCACAGCAGAATGCCTCCTGGTTTACATACAGGGTCAACTGGATATATGCAGGGTTTCGAGTCTGTTTGTCTGTCAAATGTGCATTCTTTAACATTAAACACGTTTTACCTTGTCAATCGTGGTGCACTTCTGAAATGAGGGAAACAAATGAAGTTCACAAAGTTGAGAGTAAATAAGAATTTGAAATTTATGTCTGAGTGAGAACACTTGCAAGGCTTCGAGTAAGATTTTGATTGGTTCTGCTAGCTTTTTTGGTAAGTCTCTCTTAGCCGGGTATGTGGATTTTTAATCTCAAGAGAAAGGGGATGACACATGAATGAAATCCTTTTCTCAGTATTCAGAGTAACAGCCGTGTTAGTCTGTATTCGCAAAAAGAAAAGGAGTACTAGTGGCACCTTAGAGACTAACCAATTTATTTGAGCATAAGCTTTCGTGAGCTACAGCTCACTTAATCGGATGCATACTGTGGAAAATACAGAAGATGTTTTTATACACGCAAACCATGAAAAAATGGGTGTTTATCACTACAAATTGTTTTCTATCCCCCCACCCTACTCTCCTGCTGGTAATATTTATTTAATTTAATTGGGGATTGGTCCTGCTTTGAGCAGGGGGTTGGACTAGATGACCTCCTGAGGTCCCTTCCAACCCTGATATTCTATGATTCTATGAATAGCTTATCTAAAGTGATCACTCTCCTTACAATGTGTATGATAATCAAGGTGGGCCATTTCCAGCACAAATCCAGGGTTTAACAAGAACGTCTCAGGAATGGGGGGGGGGAGGAATAAACAAGGGGAAATAAGTTATTTTATAATAACTCAACCATTCCCAGTCTCCATTCAAGCCTAAGTTAATTGTATCCAGTTTGCAAATTAATTCCAATTCAGCAGTCTCTCACTGGAGTCTGTTTTCGAAGTTTTTTGTTGAAGGATAGTCACTTTGAGATCAGAAATTGAGTGACCAGAGAGATTGAAGTCTTCTCCGACTGGTTTTTGAATGTTATAATTCTTGACATCTGATTTGTGTCCATTTATTCTTTTACGTAGAGACTGTCCAGTTTGACCAATGTACATGGCAGAGGGGCATTGCTGGCACATGATGGCATATATCACGTTGGTGGATGTGCAGGTGAACGAGCCTCTGATAGTGTGACTGATGTGATTAGGCCCTGTGATGGTGTCCCCTGAATAGATATGTGGGCACAGTTGGCAACGGGCTTTGTTGCAAGGATAGATTCCTGGGTTAGTGGTTCTGTTGTGTGGTATGTGGTTGCTGGTGAGTATTCGCTTCAGGTTGGGGGGCTGTCTGTAGGCAAGGACTGGCCTGTCTCCCAAGATTTGTGAAAGTGTTGGGTCATCCTTTAGGATAGGTTGTAGATCCCTGATAATGCATTGGAGGGGTTTTAGTTGGGGGCTGAAGGTGACGGGTAGTGGCGTTCTGTTATTTTCTTTGTTAGGCCTGTCCTGTAGTAGGTAGCTTTTGGGAACTCTTCTGGCTCTATCAATCTGTTTCTTCACTTCCGCAGGTGGGTATTGTAGTTGTAAGAATGCTTGATAGAGATCTTGTAGGTGTTTGTCTCTGTCTGAGGGCTTGGAGCAAATGCGGTTGTATCGCAGAGCTTGGCTGTAGACAATGGATCGTGTAGTGTGGTCAGGGTGAAAGCTGGAGGCATGTAGGTAGGAATAGCGGTCAGTAGGTTTCCGGTATAGGGTGGTGTTTGTGACCATCGTTTATTAGCGCTGTAGTGTCCAGGAAGCGGATCTCTTGTGTGGACTGGACCAGGCTGAGGTTGATGGTGGGATGGAAATTGTTGAAATCATGGTGGAATTCCTCAAGGGCTTTTTTTCCATGGGTCCAGATGATGAAGATGTCATCAATATAGTGCAAGTAGAGTAGGGGCGTTAGGGGACGAGAGCTGAGAAAGCGTTGTTTTAAGTCAGCCATAAAAATGTTGGCATACTGTGGGGCCATGCGGGTACCCATAGCAGTGCCGCTGATCTGAAGGTATACATTGTCCCCAAATGTAAAATAGTTATGGGTAAGGACAAAGTCACAAAGTTCAGCCACCAGGTTAGCCGTGACATTATCGGGGATAGTGTTCTTGACGGCTTGTAGTCCATCTTTATGTGGAATGTTGGTGTAGAGGGCTTCTACATCCATAGTGGCCGGGATGGTGTCATCAGGAAGATCACCGATGGATTTTAGTTTCCTCAGGAAGTCAGTGGTGTCTCGAAGGTAGCTGGGAGTGCTGGTAGCGTAGGGCCTGAGGAGGGAGTCTACATAGCCAGACAATCCTGCTGTCAGGGTGCCAATGCCTGAGATGATGGGGCGCCCAGGATTTCCAGGTTTATGGATCTTGGGTAGTAGATAGAATATCCCAGGTCGGGGTTCCAGGGGTGTGTCTGTGTGGATTTGATCTTGTGCTTTTTCAGGTTTCAGGAAGTTTCTTGAGCAGATGCTGTAGTTTCTTTTGGTAACTCTCAGTGGGATCAGAGGGTAATGGCTTGTAGAAAGTGGTATTGGAGAGCTGCCTAGCAGCCTCTTGTTCATATTCTGACCTATTCATGATGACAACAGCACCTCCTTTGTCAGCCTTTTTGATTATGATGTCAGAGTTGTTTCTGAGGCTGTGGATGGCATTGTGTTCTGCACGGCTGAGGTTGTGGGGCAAGTGATGCTGCTTTTCCACAATTTCAGCCCTTGCACGTCGGCGGAAGCACTCTATGTAGAAGTCCAGTCTGCTGTTTTCACCTTCAGGAGGAGTCCACATAGAATCCTTCTTTTTGTAGTGTTGGTAGGGAGGTCTCTGTGGATTAGTATGTTGTTCAGAGGTGTGTTGGAAATTTTCCTTGAGTCAGAGACGTCGAAAATAGGATTCTAGGTCACCACAGAACTGTTTCATGTTCGTGGGGGTGGAGGGGCAGAAGGAGAGGCCCCGAGATAGGAGAGCTGCTTCTGCTGGGCTAAGATTATAGTTGGATAGGTTAACAATATTGCTGGGTGGGTTGAGGGAGCCATTGCTGTGGCCCCTTCTGGCATGTAGTAGTTTAGAAAGTTTAGTGTCCTTTTTCTTTTGTAGAGAAGCAAAGTGTGTGGTGTAAATGGCTTGTCTATTTTTAGTAAAGTCCAGCCACGAGGAAGTTTGTGTGGAAGGTTGGTTTTTTTAGAGATTATCCATTTATGAGAGCTCATTCTTTATCTTTCCCTGTTTGCTGTAGAGGATGTTGATCAGGTGGTTCCGCAGTTTCTTTGAGAGTGTGTGGCACAAGCTGTCAGCATAGTCTGTGTGATATGTAGATTGTAATGGATTTTTTACGTTCAGTCCTTTTGGTACGATGTCCATCTGTTTGCATTTGGAAAGGAAGATGTCTGTCTGTATCTGTACAAGTTTTTTCATGCAGTTGATTTCCACTCCATACAGCTAAATGCAGTGCCTTGCATAATGACAGGTTTCAGAGTAACAGCCGTGTTAGTCTGTATTTGCAAAAAGAAAAGGAGTACTTGTGGCACCTTAGAGACTAACCATCACTTTAGATAAGCTATTACCAACAGGAGAGTGGGTTTGTTTTGGGGTCGGGGGAGAGAAAACCTGGATTTGTGCTGGAAATGGCCCACCTTGATTATCATACACATTGTAAGGAGAGTGATCACTTTAGATAACCTATTACCAGCAGGAGAGTAGGGTGGGGGGATAGAAACACCCATTTTTTCATGGTTTGTGTGTATAAAAACATCTTCTGTATTTTCCACAGTATGCATCCGATGAAGTGAGCTTTAGCTCACGAAAGCTCATGCTCAAATAAATTGGTTAGTCTCTAAGGTGCCACAAGTACTCCTTTTCTTTTTTCTCAGTATGTTTGCATTAGTCTGCTGAATAGCATCACTTACTGTTGAGGTAGTCAATGTTAATCTCTGTCTCTCTCTTTCAGAGGAGATGAATTTACCTGCAGATATTCCCAGTTATTTATCCTCCCAAGGAACTCTTTCTGAACCTCAAGAAGGCTACAGCAACTCAGAGGCAGGAAGCCATCAACAGCTTATGCCTCCTGCAAATGGCTATGTGCACAAGGGAACAGATGGTAAGTATGCCCCTTTGCATCGCAGCATTACACAAAGCAGGGTAATAGGTAATGGCATTAGCATTGAAGGTTAAATGTTTTAGAAGACTCTAGAAATTTTAGAATTTTCTATACTCTAAATTTAAAAACCCTACCTCTTAGAGTGCTGGTGTGTGTGTGTGTATATATATATTCCACTTTTGGGGGTGCTTGCTCCCCACATGCTCAAGATCAGAATCTGTGACAATTCCCTGGGACTGTGTCTGTGTCTGAATGCCCTCCTGGCTCCCTGAGGCACAAAGGGTGGAGAAGCCCATGGCTGCGGAACAGGACTGAGAGCAATGTTCCTGTCCCTTGCAATCATACAAATTGCATGGGTTGTACATGGTTATCTATGCAGGGTAGATCAGAGAGTGATTCGCTTTGGATAGTCATGTATTAGGGTTCTATTCCGGATAGCTTTTCTGGGTACTGGGCTTCAGCCCTTATGGCTGAGCAAAAATCTTTGATGTTCATGTATTGTCCTTCATGTAAGTGTGCTGTATCTCTTGGGAGGCATAGTGTTGATAAATGCTCCATTTGTTGGTATCTTTTTTTAAAAGAACCCATTAGGCAAGGGAAGCTTGCCTAAAACTTATCTTCTAGACAAGTTAGTGAGATCAGCTTCTGAGCAGAGTAAACAATATCCACCCAGATCTGAACAGTTCTCCACCAGAAGTACTCAGTTGACTATGAATGTTATGGCTGCCTCTAGAGCCCCAGCTTCTGAGAAGGACTCCTCTACTGCTTCCACTTCTAAATAGTCTTCATTTGCTGAAAGCAATAGGATGCAGTCATCCTCTCTCTGGAGAAGAACAGGCTTTCTGTCTGAGAACCTGTCAGAGGCATGATTACTGCAACTTTCCTCTCACAAGGGTAGCACAGGACCCAAGTTGGGTTCCTCTGCACGCTGTTCTTCATATACCAGTACTGGCCAAAGAGCACCCTCAAGCAGTTTTTATCTGTCTCTCTCTGCAACACTGCTTGTTGAGCACTCCATACTGACACCAAGGCTTTCTGCTCCAGCACCAGCTACTTTGGTATAGATTCTGTTAGCACAAATGTTCTGTCCCATCCACCTCGCAGTTGCTGTTTATGGTACTGATGGTTTCGATGCTGAGATGCACAGCACCAGATCTAGTAGCATCTGTCTTCTGACTCACCATTATCATAAACAGTAAACATTCCCCTAGCTATATTAATCACTGTTGTTTCTTCGGCACAAGGTGTGTGTAGGGTACCGACAAAAGATTTTTCCCAGACCTACTAAGGCTTTTGATACAGTCCCATATGACATATCATAAAAACAAATTAGGGAAATATGGTCTAGATGAAATTACTGATAAGGTGGGTGCACAACTGGTTGAAAGACTATACTCAGAATAGTTGTCGGTGGTTCGCTGTCAAACTGGGAGGGCATATCTAATATGGTCCTGCAGAGGTCAGTCCTGGGTCTAGTACTAATCAATATCTCCATTAATGACTTGGATAATGAAATGGAGAATGTGCTTATAAAATTTTCAGATGACTCCAAGCTGCCTGGGGTTGCAAGCAGTTTAGAGGACAGGATTAGAATTCAAAACAACCTTGACAAATTGGTCTGAATTCAACAAGATGAAATTCAATAAAGGCAAATGGAAAGTACTACGTTTAGGAAGGAAAAATCAAATGTACAATTACAAAATGGGGAAAAACTAGCTAGGTGGCAGTACTGCTAAAAGGGATCTGGGGGTTACAGCGGATCGCAAATGGAATCAGTTAACAATGTGATGCAGTTGCGAAAAAGGCTAATATTATCTTGCAGTGTATTACCAGGATGTTGCATGGAAGACACGGAAGCTAACTGTCCCACTCTCCTCAGGACTGGTGAGGTCTCAGCTGGAGTACTGTGTCCAAGCGTGGCCCCACACTTGAGGAAAGATGTGGACAAATTGGAGAGAGTTCAGATTTTCTAAACCTTTTGTTGCTATCCTCTGATCTATGAGGAAAGTTTTAATAAAAAAAAACAAAACCCAAAACTGGGCATGTTCAGTCCTGAGAAAAGACTGAAGGGAGCCTAGTAACAGTCTTCAAATATGTTAAGGGCTGTTACAAAGAGGATGGTGATCAATTATTCTCTATATCCATTGAAGGTAAGACCAGAAGTAATGGGCTTAATCTGTAGCAGGGGAGATTTAGGTTAGATATTAGGAGAAACTTTCTAGCTATAAGGATAATTACAATCTGGAACAGGCTTCCAATGGAGCTTGTGGATTCCCCATTACTGGAAATTTTTAAGAGCAGGTTTTGCAAACATCTGTCAGGATGTCTAGGTTTACTTGGTCCTGCCCCAGCGCAAGGGACTGGACTTGACTTCTTAAGGTCCCTTCCTTTATTCCTATGATTCTGTGAGACCTACTACATCAGCTCCACCAATGGAAGAGGAATATTCCTCTCATCTCCATAGTGGGGGCGGTTCAGCTATTTACTCCAAGGCTTCTTTCTATGATCCTTATATAGAGAATCCAGGACTTGTGGTTACTGTGATAAATACAAGGTATCTACAGAGACATCCCTCCTGCTACACTCTGCTGTGATTCCCAATTCATTTTGTGTATAGCCCTCATTCATGGCTATACTGGGCACCGAGGGATTTCCATCATGACAAGAAATATCACTCCTAGGCTCCCTCTAAGCCTAGATCTCCCTCCCTGATAGGGTCCAGGAGGGTCCAACAGCATCAGCCTGCAGGTGTCAATTAGTGACTCTCAACAATTGCAAGTCTCTGAAGTTCATCAGTCAGCTGAACTTGCCCCTGCTGCCATTTCATCGTCCCATCATGCTGTTGTCCCATCTGTTCCATCACACCCTGATGACTACAATGCTTTTTTTAGATTCCAAGGCCAGAAGAGGCCATTGCGATCATCTGGTCTGACCTCTTGTATAACCCAGGCCCTAGAACTTCCTTGAAACCATTCCTAGAGCAGATCTTTTAGAATAGGATTCAATCTTAATTTTAAAAATTTGACTTCCTTCATCAGATGGCAGAGACATTAGAGATTCTAACTGATATAGGGCAGGAGATATCCCACAAATTTAAGCGTCTTGTACACCTCCGTGCCAGCTATGCCATAAACAAGGGACAGTTAGCAGCTGCACAGCTCCTGAGGCAGATACCCGCATCGCTTTCCCCCAGCATCCAAAGAGGCAGACAGAAGGTCCCAGGTACCATCTTTGGCATTCTAGTATTTTTACATTCATCCTACACCAGGGTCCCTTGTTTTCACTGCTCCTCAGGAGAGGACAGAACAGAAGAGCTGCAAGGCAACACCTAAAGGAGCTCAAATGCCTGGATCTCCTCTGAACCAAGAGCTACTCTGCCCTCTGTCAGCCTCCACTTTAGGATTGCCAATTACCAGGCACTCCTTGCCAAGTCTGAGTCTATAAAATGGCATGAAGTGTCAAACTTCACAGGACTAGCACAGGAGGCTAGATAGGAATTAAGATCACCACTAGTGGAATATGTATGGACAAGCACTCAAAGAAAAAGCAGTTACTTTACAGTAACTATGGTTCTTCAAGATGTTGTCCATATACGCCTATTCCATGGCCTGTCCTCCAGCCCTGTTACTACAGGACCTGTATTCTGTTTTAGTGAAGGAACTGAGAGATGTTTGGCTCCACTCCACCTGTCATGCTCTCAGATTTTGGGGGGTGGGGCGCAAAGGGCACTCAAGATGCAGGTGTGACCCCAACAAAACCTGGCTAAAAGCTTCTGATCTGGAGAACATGGGTAGCATGCACGTCAAGAATGGGAAATAGACACAAGTACTCGAAGAACCACAGTAATTATAGGGTAAGGAACTGTTTTAATACAAATGTGATTAGGAAGACATGCATGTTAGTTAGATACTGGAACCCCTTTGCTCTTAGAACTTACAAGGCAATATGAGGTTGCTTTACACCACATTAAGCTTCTGTTCTCCCAGGCAAGTTCTGAGTTACAAGGCTACATGAATTTGGGTAGCTATGCATGTGAACATGGCATATTTCTCCTGTAGCTTATTTTTCAAAAGAAGCAAGCATGCTTTGTGGAGTTCAGTACCAATCCTATGTCAGTGTTTTTCTCACTATGACACGGTGATATTGCATGATCATACCTATCTATAAAAGCAACTGTAGAGACCAGGCATCCCTACTCTTTTTTTAAACAAAGAATATTTTTTGTTTTCCCCCATTGTGTCAGGTGGCACAGGGCCATTAGTGATCTGCTCAGATTGTTATGACAATGCAAACATCTACTCCAGGACCCGTGAATACTGTCCTTATGCATACATCACAGAAGAGGACTCACTGGATCATACATTGTCCAGTCTCATGGTACAAGTGCCCAAGGAGACCTATCCATCTCTCACACAACATGAAGCCAGCACTCTGGATCGTCTTATAGTAGACAGAGAAATGTCTGCCTTTCTTACCCATCATGACAGAATAAATGAGAAGAAATTCTCAGCCCAGCAGACAAATAATGGTAAGTTCATGACTCATCCTCTTCTTCCAGTCCAACGGCACAAGCCAGATACTGGCCTGCCTGTTACCTTATATATTGGTAGTGGACTAATCCAATTTTTCTGGTCAAGTTGTTGTGTGTGGGGTAGTTAATCTAATCACTGAACACTTCCTCTCCAGACTGCACTTTGAATGAAGAGAAATCTGAAGCTTTGCACCAAATGTTCAAATGCTCCTGGTTACTCCCTGTTTATAAAAGCAGCATCTTTGAACCTATAATTCCTCTCTTTAAAGTTCATGAGACTTAATGTCTTGTGCATATATAATATTATCAAGTATGTTTCTCTGCCAACATTGTCTTTGCTTTAGAGTCATACAGATATCCCGCAGGAAATCCAAATAGCACTTTTATGTGTTTACTGAATAGAATTCCTAATGTTTCAAAGCACCTGAGGAAAAAAATACATTGTCGATTTTAATAGAATCAAGGTTTTTTGTGACTCTTCCAGAGAACCTTTGGAGAAACTTGCAGACATGTTGTAGCTGGTTATAGTAACAGATTGCTACAGTGGGAAGGCTTCCAGTAAAATGTGCCCTCAAAGCTAAATAGAAAATAATCTTGTTAAGAATGTCATATTGCCAAATCACATGGAGATTAAAGAATCCTTGTTTAGAATTCTGGTGCATTTATCATGAACTCAAATGCCTACCCATTTTTCTTCTCTCTCAGAACCTTTTCAGCTACCCTTGTGGGGACTAAACAGAGACGTAGGGTTGTCGCGCACACGCTTCCCACAGCAGCAGTCAGTCCATGAGGAGGCCCCTCAAGCTCTCCGAAGTGAGGGAGCCATTGACGGTGACCGAGAACAGGCTGTTTCACCCAGACCTTGCCACAGGTTACGTGAACATAACTTTGATTTTAACAGGACTCAGAACATTCAGGAATTTGGTGAAGCCACATAAACAGCAAAGTGAAGCTTTGGAAGCAAATTCAGGTCAACTGACTTTGTATTTTCTACCTCAGGATTAACCCCTTGCCCAAAGATGCTGTATACACATCTACAATTATAAGCTGAGTGGACCAAGACAGACTCTCTCAGCTAGGAGTGGGAGGATGGCACAAACTTTTGTCTCTTGGATTTACTTGTGTTGGAAAGATGGGGATCCACAGCATTATATTATGGTTGGACAATTTTGGTGAATGAAGTGAACTCCACTACAAGAGTATTGGAAGGCATGAGCATTCTGATGTCCTATCAACACAGGCTGTCTCTGTTTTGAAAATTCTATCCAAAAGGTTTAGCTGTTTCATGCTCCCCATAGAATTCTCCAGTAATTGCAAACATACAGCTCTTGGCCAGCTTTCTCTTCCTTTAGTCTGCTAGCAGGAGTTGCATCATTGTCAGACGGGTAACTTTGGAAGGTTGTTTTTTCTCCTATGAGTAAAGTAGTGCTCCTATGAGTAAAGTTCAGGGGTTCTCAAACTTCATTGTACCATGACCACCTTCTGACAACAAATTACTACAGGACCCCAGGAGGGGGGACCGAAACTGAGCCCACTGAAGCCCTGCTACCCAGAGGGGGGGCAAAACCCCACTGCCCCAGGCCGGGGGGCCAAACCCAAAGCCTGAGGGCTTTGCCACAGGCAGGAGGCCTGTAACCTTAATCCCACTGCCCAGGGATGAAGCCCTTGGGCTTTGGCCCTGGGCCCCAGCAAGTGTCATTAAAATGGGGTCGTGACCCACAGTTTGAGAACTGCTGCTCTAGTTGTAAATAAATTTGCATTTATAAATATTTTGTATACACGACACACATAAATGTGTTGGCTGTAATGTAAATATTTTTTATTATGCCAAAAATACTGTAACATCCTGTTGTAATCTTGAGAACTGGCTATCAAACCATAAAGATTTGTTCTGATTTGGTTTTGTGGATCTGAAAGCTTGTTTCTTCAGGGATAGATCTATCCTTTCATGTTGGGAAGAAGTGGATGTGTAGGCATGTCAGTGAAATTGTGACCCTAGTGAATAGCATTGATTTACATACAGCTGTGTATGCCTCTGGCTTGACAGTATACATGTAAACTGCTCCCTCTTCGTTACATGGTCAGGATTCTTGGGCCCCAAGTGTGACCCACTTACATCTGTTTGAAAAGTTCTGTAATTCTTTGTATGAAACACTACTTCCATTTTCCGTGGAGCATGAAGCCTCAGAGAAACCCTGAAGTAAAAAACCAGAGCCTAATCTCTACTTTCGCAGGAGTTCTTGTAAGCAGCGAGCAAAACAAGATTAAAATGGTGACATACCTTGGCAATGTCCCGAATATACAAAATTACTTTTCTTCATAGACCTCTGGGAAAGTAGTGTTAGGTGTGAAAAATCAATGAGCTCTGAGTAGCTACTGTCTTTAGCCTCTGCCAAGATCTAAAATGTCATAGCATAGAAAGGCCTTTCTACGCTATATATGGCAGAGCTCTGGCTGGATGACCTGATACTCTGCTACTGGTCCCTAGGTCTCCCTGTAGGACCAGTTTGCCCTGGTTACAGCCAGCAATGGCCAGCCATCAGTTAGCTGCACCAATAAAGGCACCTAGTGTCATGCACTTTCACGTAAAGTTAAACTGCACCAATGCAAATACCAGCTTAGTGTAGACCGACAACTTGGCAACTATTTGCACCAGTGCAACTTTCTCCCTACTTGAAAGTGGTGTACAAATCATGGCTTATAGCATTTTTTCCTGTCTTGAGGAGGTGTTTGCACAAGTGACTGGTCACAGATGGCTGAAATATCCAGTGCAGACAAGACCTTAGTCTACAAAAAAAGATCAAGGGTGAATTTCCCCTCTCATCTCAGTGAGGTGTCAACATCGAAGCCCAATTCTGATCACAAATGCAGCCATATCATTGGTGGTGGCCATACCAGAAACCTCCAGCTACTCCCCATATGTTTGGGGCTGGACATAAAATCATACAAAATCTAGGACTGTAAAGGACCTCACGAGATCAAGTCCAGCCCCCTGCGCTGAGGCTGGACCATGTAAACTTAGACCATCCTTGACAGATGTTCAACCAGTTCTTAAACACCCCCAATGATGGGGATTCCGCATCCTCCCTGGGAAGCCTGTTCTAGATTGTAATTACCCTTATAGCTAAAAAGTTTCTCCCAAAAATTAACCTAAATCTCCCTTGCTGCAGATTAAGCCAATTACTATTTGTCCTACCATGAGTTGACATGAAGAACAATTAATCACCATCCTCTTTATAATAGCCCTTAACACATTTGAATATCCCCAATCCATTGCAAAAGGGTGAGTACTGAATATGCAGCAGTCAAGTACTCCTCATTTTAGACATTTAGATTACTGGGGGCAAACTGTGAAGTGGATGTCCATGGTGAAGTGTTGGATGTCATGGTGTATTGTATTATGTGGGTTTTCTAGTAAGCTGTTCCACACCAGTGGTGAATATGCACTTCTGAAAGCTAATGATCCCATCTGTCAAAATATTGGAAGTGAAATCCTGGCTCATGGACGTTAGTTGAAAAACTTGCATTGATTTTAATGAAGCCAGGATTTCACCCTAAGTATTTAAAGGGTAAGGCACTCATCTATGAAAAATCAGTAAAATTAAAATTTAAATCCACTACTAGCCATCTTTTTCCCTAGATTTGGAAAGCAGTTCTTCTCCCTGCTGAGGTTCCCTGTGCGATGTGTTAGCAACAGAACCATTCAATGAATGTTGTCTTCTCCCCAGCAGCATAGTCAGAGAAGCGTCACCAATAACACTAGATGACATCTCATAAGCTTCAAAGGAAATATCATCCTACACTGCCTAAAAAGCTGTCACTTTCTGGTAAATTATCTAGGTAGAGATGCTCATTTTACAGTGTTTTTTTTTTATTTTCATCAATTTTGCATCTTCAAGGACAGTGAGCTTATAGCTAAAGCATTTGGTGGTGCTATCCTTCCTGATGTATGCTGTCTCCAGTAAATAAGATCCCCAGGGCTTTCCTCCTGATCACTGATGCCTTTGTTCAGTCTATAGAAAATCCACTAATCAGTAGTAGAATCAGCACCGTGACTCTCAATTTTAGAAAGAAAAACGCAGTTTGCATCAAACCAAAAGATAGAACTCTGCAAGAACTAGTGACTTCTCCTGCTGTTCACTTCTTGGATGGGATTGTAAGGTTTGGGGCATTTCAGGTGAATCCTTCTTTCTGAGACCACAGCTAGAACTTACTTGAGTCAGAGATCGGCTCACCTACAGGGTAAGTGAGGCTCCTCAAACATATTTGAAAATATCCGTTACTTTCCTTCTCTGGCGTGGCCTGTGGACTGATCCAGGCAAACAAGGACCAAAGATTCAGCAGTGGCACTTATCCCAGAGTTGTTAAAGCAAACCGTAAGGTAGTCCAGCAGCTGTACTGTGGAGGGGAGTCAGTTGTTTTTGATCAAATAATGTAGAACTAAACACTGGCATTTTAGTCGCTTGGTGCTTTGAAGTTCTCAATATTTTGGGGTTATTAAATGTAACACTCACTACAGCTCAAAGGGGAATTCTGAAGTACCTGATTTGGAGGGGGGCAGGGGGGGGACGCAGAGTTTTCTCTTTGAACTCCATCTAGGAAGGCACATTGTTCATTTTAAGACCTGAGCTCACCTTTGTGCCGAAGGACCCTGCTGTTGTGTCTGGGTACAGCTCCACAGTATTTCGGAGTGAGCCTCCCACACCAGCTCAACGCTCACGCTAGCTCTCTGAAAGTAGCTGTGTAGACAGCACTTTGAAGTTACGGCTCAGGCCCTAAAGCCGGGGCGGAGGGGTGGGGTGGGGGGGAGGGGGGTGGGGAAGCATCAGAGCCCAAGCTGCGACTTCAGAGTGTTGTTTATACAGCTACTTCTTGAGCACTAGCATGAGCCCTGCAACCCAAGTCTGTTGAGCTGGGCTGGGCGGCTCGCTCCAAAAGTCTGTAGACGTACCCTAGTAGCCTAAATTAACGTCAGAAGTGCCAGCTATGAAATTGCTGCAATGGAAAGCGTGCATCATTCCAGGCTTCCGCCTGATTTGGTCATACATGGTAAAGGTCAATGTGGCATAGCTGGTCCACAGCATGTTGAGAACCATGATCTCTTGGCAGCAGACATATAACACTTCATTTCTGCTGTGCTTTTTTCTCCTTCCATTTGGCAAACATTTATTTCCCCCTCCTTCTATTTTGTATGGAGCACAAGTCAACATGACATTAGTTCCTCTGCTTGTGCAACCCATTGATGCTAACTTGGTGTGCGTGACAGGTTAGGGAGCCTGATCTGCCCTGGTATTCAGAACACCCAGTGAAGTCAAAGGCTGTGTTGTCTTGTAAGGTGTGCAGAATCAGATCTAAGGCTTGTAAGTTATGCTACCTGCAACAGAAAAGATTTATTTAGTGTCCTGGCATAAACAGTGGCCTCTTTAAAGTGGTGTTAAGCTGGTTGTACGTAGCCTTGACTTTTAATTGGGCAAGCTACTTACCAATGTACTACTTTTGCATTCTGAAAAACAGGCTAAGTTTCCAACTGCAGTTTTAAGAGCAACAGCTCCTAAATTACACAGTTAGAAACAGGATGATGCAGCTACCTGTGTTTTGCTAAGACATTCACCCATCTGTTTACCAAGAGATCTGTCTAACTTGGAGAGAATAACAGAAGTTATTCTGTTTCCCATATTCGTACCCATCTTTGTCAATCAATGCCAAAGTGAAGCAGCTCTAATAACGAGTGTATCTAAGGCACTGTCTACAGATCTGCCCTCATTTACTGTTGCTCTTTCCTAGTATCTCTATTTTTCTCACTTATAAGAATGTATATTTTGTATAGCATGTGTAACATACTTTTGTCTATTGTAATTTACTTTCATTCAATAAAACACTACATACCGTGTGAGTCTCTGGTGTGGCTTCCATTGCATACAGGCACACAACATTCATAAAAGACTATTTTTAAATCTTCCAGAGAAAATGCAGCAAAACTAGGTCCTTCCACATGAGTGACAGTCAAGGGGGGAGAGGGACTTACTCTTCTCTTACTATGAAAGGTGGATGTTTCTTCATATATAAGTGACCATCATGAGTATACTCTTGATTTGAACAATTGGAAGGGTGTTGGGTCCTCAGCGGTTCTCATCCCTTCTGTCCCTGGATAAGGGACATAGCCTGGTTCCGGAGCTGGATTCCATATATGGTAGCAGAGTGGCAGCTGGCTGCTCTATTGGGATGAAGCCATATCCTCAATAGATGAGGTATTGATCCTGCCAGTTGCTGATTCATTCTGCAGCCTTAACACAGCATTAGAGGGAGGTGAGTGGTTTAATCCACTTCCATCTCTAAGAATGTGGGGATCAGTTGGGAAGAAATGACTGCAAGTGGTAGTCTTCGTGCTCATAGATTAAAACTGCAACATAGCACGAATGCTGTAGGGACAGCCTAACAGGCCATCAGACAGAGAGAGGCACAAGGCATCAAGGCACAAGGATTCACTTATTCCTAACACAGGATATAGTTAGTGTAGTGGGTTGAAAAAGGATTCATGGACTCTAACAAATATCCTATTGCAGCCCTCCCTCATCTAGAGCCTCTGCACTGGAGTGATGTAGTATATTGCAAGCCCTACTAGTGGGGTAGCTCCTACACATGCCCCGTTTAATATAGTCTGTTACAGTATTTCAGTCTTCCATTCTCACCTGTGGAAGCTAAACCAGGGCTGTGTTTTTCCCCTGGTAAGAGGACAGGAATGTACTCTAGGCTAGCAGTGATGCAGGCATTTTCAAGGTGCTCGTTTTCTTGCTGAGCCGCAAGAAAGTAGTCAATACAATAAGCACAACTAATGTTTGCCATCAGTGCTTGGCCAAGGATAACCATTCAAGATAAACCTTTCAAATAGCAAGGACGAACA